GTCAGTGTAAGTCCTTCAACTTTGTTGTTCTTGTTCAAATTGCTTTGGCTCTTCTGTATCCTTTGCATTTTCATATAAATTTTAGAGTCTACTTGGCAATTCTAAAATATTAGGATTTGGACATAATTTGCATCTTAATTATATTGAGTCTTCTGATCCATGGACATGGTATACATTTCCATTTATTTGATATTTAGTTTTTATCAGCAATGCTTTTTAGTTTTCAGTGTAGAAGTCTTGCATATATTTTGTTAAATTAATTCTTCAGTGTTTTTTATTTTTTATTATTTGGTTCTATTTTTAGTGGAATTACATTTTAAACTTTACTAATTTTTTTTGCAGCTAACATATAAAATTGATGAATATGTTAATTAGCTTGGTTTAGTCATTCCACAGTGTCAAATATATAGCTCAGAACATCACATTACACCTCATAAATAATGCAAATTTTAAATTAAAAATAACATTAAAAATGAAACTTCTAAACTCAAAAACAACAGCTTTTTTATATTAACTTTGTCTCCTTTGACTTTACCAAATTCATACTGTTTTCTTTGTGTTGTTTTATTAGAAAGTCTGGGACAATATTGACTGTAAATGTTAAAGTTGGGCAGATTTTGTTCCTAACTTTATGGGGAGACTTTGGCAATAGTCATACCTTTTGGTCAGTAGTTTTTTTTACAACATACTTTTTATCAGACTGAAAAGATTCTTTTCTATTTTTTATTTGTTGAATATATTTTATGATGAATGGGTGTTGAAATTTGATTGCTTTTTCTTTGTCTACTGAAATAATCATATGGTTTTCCTCTTATATTCTATTAATGCAATGAATTGCATTGATTTTTAAATATTAAAACAATCTTGCATTCTTGGGACAAGCACAGTCATGATGTATTATCCTCAATACAGTATATTGGTAAATACAGTTTAGTAAAACTTGGAGAATTTTGCATTCATGTTTGTAAGAAATATTAGCCTATTATTTACTTCTTTATTGTTGTTGGGCTCTTACATTTGGATAGTGCTGGTCTCATGTCAAATGGAGAAGATCATGAAAATATTTTGTGTGAATAAGGGTCCAAAAAAAGGGGAGAATCACACAGTGACCTGTGAGATGGAAATGGATTGATCATTTTTGCCCCTCTGAAAGTGCCAGGTTGCAGATTCTGGAATTTGTCACAGACACTGAAGTAATGGTAAGGAGATTGTGCTCTGGTGGGGCTTGGATATTGATAAAAACAGAAAATGAAGTAAAATCACACCCACTCCTGAATGAAGTTAAATTTGAGCAGTTGGTTTAGACGTACATCGTTTAATGTTTCTACTTTGTACAGAGCTTTCCCTTTAAAATATTGCTTTTATTTTGATACCATTAAGAAGAAAAAGTGAGTAGTTTACACAGCTTTCATGCCTTTAAACAGGTAGCAGACATTTATTACAAAAAAACATATCAGCCAGGCCAAAATTTTCCCCCTCACTGGGGATTGAACCCAGAGGCTTTTTCTCTAAGCTACAGCTCCTGTCCTTTTAATTTTTGTATTTGAGGCAGGGTCTTGCTAAATTTCCCAGGCTGGCCTAGCGTTTGTTATCCTCCTGCCTCTGTCTCATGAGTAGCTAGGATCATAGTCATGCACTGACACACGCCGTCAAAGCCAATTTTTAAAGCTCATGTATTATTATATGGATTACTTCCAGAGAAAAAGAAATTTCCTGGATATCATGTGTCAACTTTTATTATTTGTTTTACAATGTTACTTGAAATTTATAAACATAAAAAGCTTTTATTCTTTATTTTTACATAACTATAAAAGCAAGTCACAGAAGTTAGGTACAGACAAAACTTTGAAGACATGTAATGCTAGCTAATAACATTAATCTAGTGTAAGGGAGGATATTGTTTTTGCTGAAACTAAATTTATGCTTTGGATCTGATTGTGGCACTTGGCATCAGCATGATCCCTTTGCCTCTGGCAGGCCTGGGTTACATGGTGCCAGGCAAGGACTTCGTTCTTCTGCCATTTTCTCCACTTGAACTTCATGAACTGTTTTCCATATATCACTGGCTGCATCACTTAGTGTCAGTCCACCTCTGTGCTCTGTTCTTTTCCCTTTAGCTAAAGATTATAAAGTACCATTTATTGGATTCCAATGTAGATATAAATGCAGTCAGCAAAATCATGTACACGACAGTATCCAGCCTTAAAGACCTAAACTAGATGACATGTAGTTTTATTAATTTCTTCCAGATTACCATAAAAGTACAAAGTTTAGAAACCTAGAGAATGGTATACCTTCAAGAATATACTGTAAATCAGTATCCTTGGGCACAGTCTCCAGCATTAGAAATCTCAAAAGAGGAGGTGGCTGGAAGGGTCACCGATGCCTGAAGGCCTGATATCCATGCCAGGGCACACGATGGCAGTTTCCCACCTTGAGTCCTTATTGGAGGCCGATCAGACCTCTGGCCACCTGACCAAGGTTATGGTGAAAGGATGACAAAAGACAAGATCTTTACTGTGTGAAGGGGGTCCAGGATGGTTGAAGCTCTTATCAGGCTAAGACACTGACTCCTGGCGCTGGCCACTATTTATTAAGCACACAATTCCTTGAAGGGGTGAGGGCCTTGCAGGAAACAGTGGAGTGGAGAGCACTGATGCGAGCAGGGTCCTAGAAACAAGGGCACATGACATTCTAGCAGGAACAGCTCATTGATTAATGGGAAATTGGTTTTTTCCCATAGATTAATTCTTGTTTCTGTAGAAGTTTTGTATATGAGTCATGCTGCCCTTAGCTGCACGATTGTCTTGCCATCCAAGACTTCACACATCATGGATCATTGAGACCTGTGCTGTGACCAGTGGTGTGGGGAGTTGTACGGTTCCCACACACTAACTGCTGGCTCTTCAGGCAAGCCACTGTGGGCTCACAGGCAGACTCAGACTTTTAGTATGAAAAGCCAGTGTATGAATTTGCAGCTCACGCAGGGTGGTCTCCATCAAGTCCTAGGACCTGCGGGTATAGCAGAGAGAAGGAGCAGGCTTGGGAAGCACAGTGGAGAGGCTGCAGCAGGGGTGCTCAGAAAGCCAGCAGAGCTGCTGTGCCACTGCTTCTCTCCCCAGCTGCTCACCCAAGAAGGCGGTTATCTCCCTCACTGCCTTGTGTGTTCATTGTGTTGGACTCAGATGTCACAGGCAGACCCACAGCTGAACCTTGGGCACAGTGAATCACGGCTTGTGGTGCCAGGGCACAATGTTATTTCAGTTTTGTGGGTTTTCTTGAAGCAAGGGACATCTTCAGTAGGAAAAGCTCTCCTTGAAATGTTAGACTGACTTTGTGTGCCCTTCATATTCTATTTTTTTTAATTGAAAATTTAATAACATTCCACATGTGATCTGCCCTCTTCACAAAATTTTAAACCCACAATACAGCATTGACAACTACAGATACGATGTTGTACAACAGATCAATAGAACTTATTCAGCTTGGCATGGCTGCAGCTTTATTCTCTTTGAAAAGCAACTGCCCATCTCCTTGCCCTTATCTAGCAAGCATCATCTACTCTCTGACCCTATGAGTTTGAGTATTTTAGATTTCTCATAGTGCAATCATGCAGTATTTATTCTTCTGTGACTGGCTTCTTTCACTTAGCCAAGTGTCCTCAGGATTTATCTATGTTGTCGAGGATTGTAGGAGTTCCATCATTTTCAAGGCAGAGTAATATTCCACATACCCTTTAGATGTGCAATAAATCTACTGCTTTTTTAGCCCCACCCAGTCCAGATGGGCCTTCCCCCTCTTGCCAATTCTCTGTCCTCCTGTAATTTCCCAAATGCCCTCGTCAACTGGAGTGCATAAATAGAAGGAAAAGAAGCCATGGAATCTACAGAGGGGCTGAGGCCTGAACAGGAACTTTCTGGGAGTTGCAGTCCCACAGTTGCCTGGTGCTTGTCTGCTGCCTCCCTGCCCTCACTGGTATGCCTGCTATCTGTCTTTCAGGGCCACTTTGTCAGTTGGCTCTAGAAGGTTTTCTTATCACCCCCTTCTCCTTGCAGAAAGACCGTTAGATGGGGAGCTTAATTCACTTCGTCCATTAATTTGTATCTTTGCCCACTAGATGCAGGCCTAGCCAGGATGCCCAGGCACTCAGGGGACTCGCTTCCTCCTGCTGTTGTCCAGCATAGGGCAGTCCTGCAGTGGACAGCACCGCTTCCTCTGGTGACATGAGAAGGCAGCGTATGTTTTGTAAGATCCTAAAGCCCTTGGTTTATCAGCCATTGAAATTCTGTCCAAAATCTTCACCGAATTTTCCTAATCAAAAACTTTAGTGGTGGTAGAGCTACCATGTTGTATGTGGTGAATTAAGTTGTAATTGAGGTTTACAAATTTTTATGTGATTTTTTTTTTCTAGTTTTCTTCCAATGGGCTGTGAGCTTAAACTTAAATTGTTCTTAAATTGTAGTTGCTTCTTTCTGTTTAGAGAGGCTGGCATAATATTTTGTCTTCTGGGCTCAAATAACCATGTAATTACTCTGTAATCATATAGTAATTAGCATGTACTATATGCATTTATTACATAATTATATTCCTGGAGGATTGCATGGCAATTATACTTGCATTCAGCATATCATTTTATATACTGTATCATGAACAAGTATATAATTTGTTGCTGTTTTCTTTGATCCTAATTTCAGTTTACCGAGCAGAAGCTGGAAACATTCTCTGGTTGCCTGTTTGCTGGAGCTGGGCAGGTGCCTGAGTTCCTTTGGCCTCACTCCATTGCGCCTGCTTATACATCTAGGGGATATAGCAACTTGTGTGCTGCCGTGGACTCCCTGAGTTTGCATCCCAGAACGTTCTCCTTGTTAAAGTCATTAAGTTATTAGCTTTAGAATTCCTCAGGTTCTAGGGATGCTTGTATGGCCAGGTGAAGGGCAAGATCCCGGTAAAGAGAGTAGGTCTGAGCATGGTTGTCACGCCTGTCTGTCTCTGCTTCGCAGTGGAGCACATTCCCAAAGGGAACAACTGCCTGGATGCAGCTAAGGCCTGCAACCTCGATGACACCTGCAAGAAGTACAGGTCTGCGTACATCACCCCATGTACCACCAGCGTGTCCAACGATGTCTGCAACCGCCGCAAGTGCCACAAGGCCCTCCGCCAGTTCTTCGACAAGGTCCCAGCCAAGCATAGCTACGGAATGCTGTTCTGCTCCTGCCGGGATATTGCCTGCACAGAGCGGCGGCGACAGACCATCGTGCCTGTGTGCTCCTATGAAGAGCGGGAGAAGCCTAACTGCTTGAATTTGCAGGACTCCTGCAAGACGAATTACATCTGCAGGTAAGTGCTACAGCCACTGATGAATGTGGTTCATGGGTTATTGCTGGTGGTGGGGTAGCAGGCATTCCAGCTACCAGGAACTGGTTTTCTGCTTTGCTCCCCAGGGCAGAAAGTGAGGCAAAGGCTGTTCCTATGAATGGATTGGTCAGAACCAGACCTAAAATGTGGCTCCTCTCAGCTGGTTAGGCTTTGACCCTGGAGTCTTAGTTACTTTTCTCATTGCTGAGACAAAATACCCAACACCCAAAGTTAAAGGAGGAAACGTTTATTTGGCTCACAGTTTGTAGAGGTTTCAGTCCATAATTGGCTGGTTCCAAGGCAGGGTGGCATTGCAGAGGAGAAACAGTTCATGACAGGCAAAAGGTAGCAAAGCAAGCAAGGGAAATCCACAGCTCTTTCTGTATCTTATATTTTATCCAGGCTACTTAGGGCAGGTAGCACTGGCACCCTTAATCCTAGCGCCCTTGATCCTAGCATTGCACCATATCAGTTCCAGAGTCACACACTCTAGATTCATGCACCCCTGAAAAAGCCCCACCTATGACTGAATGAGGCTTTTGGGGGATGTCTGTAGACACAAGCCCTAATACCTGGGGACTTTCTGTTTTTAACAGGGGGCTGCTTGCAGAGGTGCTGGGATCGGGATAACACCACTGCATGCCTTAAGCACATCTCAGGTGAGGGCATCAGGTGGGGTGAGGTGAGGTGAGCTTGCAGGCAGATGCCCGGTCTCCAAGTCTGGAAGACAAGCCAGGGGTTGAGTGTGTCAGGAGAGGAGCTAGGTAGAGATTTGGAGGTTCTTAATCTTGGGCAGAAAAGTGGAAGAGATTAGCTTGAAGGAGAGAGCTGTGTCCACCTGGGGAAGTCAGCTCTGAGGACACCTGGGCCTGCTCCAGGTCTGTCTGTGGCTATGAAGATTGGGTACCGGTGCCTTCCCCTCACCTCTTCTTCCACCCTGCACCCTCTGTCAGAAATCCTGCTGAGCCTCAGAGTTGTTGAAAACCTTCACTTTCTTTTCCTTTTTGGTCATTTGTTAATATATTTTAATGTTTGAAACAATCTGTGGAACATATTCTCTGTTAAAATAAAAAAGCAGTATAGAATTGGGTAGCGTGAAAAAACCATGCCTTCTTTCTATTCCCCCTCATCCCCAGCCCTTCAGTGACCATTGTTGCCAATTTAAAATATGTTCTCCCAGAACTGGGGGTTGAATTCAGTTGCTAATGAAAGCAAGTAGATTTTGATGATCACAAATTGAGTCTTTGCAGACTCAGGCTAGGCTTGTGCCTTGTGCAGAAGAGCAGGCAGCATCCTGGGCTAGAGATTCAGACAGCCATCATATTGGACACCACATGCATGCTGTCCCCGGGGTAGGATCCAGGAGCCTTCAGTGAACCCCATCTCTGACAAAATCCTTTGCACGTAGTAAGTGTTAAGCAAGGGGACAAGTAGGTGATCATGTAATGAGGTGATTATTTTCCTGTACAGTTCTCATTTGGAATGAGCCGAAAACAAGCAAAAGTGATATGTTGAAGATTCTAGTTAGCTGAGCTTCTGATCCATTTGTTTTATTCTGATAGAATGTCATCCATTCTTTCTGTCTCTTTTTTTTTTTCTTTCTCAGTATCAGGGATCGAACTCAGGACCTTGCACTTGTGAGGCAGGCATGGTGCCACTGAGCTAAATCCCTGGCCCAGTTTCTCTTTTTTAATAAATTTTTTACTTTATGAAAAAATAAAACAAAATTTCCTAACAAAATAATAAGACAATAAAAATATTTATTACACTGTATCACTGTCTTCAAAGTAGTTAGAGTACAAGACATAGACAAAAAAGATTCTCTCACAAAGAAGAAACAAATAATAGCACAAAACTTTCTTTTTAATGAGCTAATAAACTCTAATAGCAACAAAGGAAAAGTGAAAATCCTCATTATCTATATAACCCTCTCACACTGAAGATTTTCTGGGAATGATGTTCATCTACTTTTTTTTTTAAGTTGGAAGTGAGTGATCTGCTCTATGAGATAGGATTTGTAACCAGGCATCAGGCGGATGGTTCACATGTTGGGAGGAGTCAGGTGTTTATAAAGTGCACCTTCCTTACTTCCAGTCCTGGCCCCCAATTTCCAAGGACCAGGCTGTGGGCTAGGGGCAGGGATGGGGTTGCTGGTCAGGTCCTGAGGACCAGGCAGGGTCTCAGAAAGCCAGGAACCTGGGAATCCAGTCAGCCCGGGTATCAAGCCCCCTGCTGAAGGTAAATGCAGCAGAGAAACTGGACAGGGAGATCCTGTGGGAGCTTGGCCCAGGGTGAGGGATCAGGGCGATCAGGGAACTCTAAAAATGTCTTCTCTGAAACCCAGATTCTTGGGCCCTTTTACCCATTAAGCAGAAAGGGTCCCCCTTCCATGAACAAGACTGAGTTTTCAGGGTCTATACTTGGTTAAAGCCAGGCAGTTTCTCCCTAAGATGTTGTCTTGTCCTCTGGGGGACTGGGGGGGGGGTCCAAGCCAAGGCTTTTGGACCTGTGTGGAAAAAGGAAGCTGTGTGGGGCTGAGATGGAGCAGTAGATAGGCCTTTGTCTGTTAAGCAAAGGCTAGGAGGTAGGCGAGGTGGTGGAACAGTGTCTTCTCACAGCTTATCTTATGCATGAGGGCCAGGGAAGGTCTGTGAGCCTCCTACACAGGCCAAAGCGCATCCTGGAGGTGAATTTCCATCCCCCAGTCTGTTCTGCTGAGAAAATCCTTGGAGTGTTAGTGTAAGTTCAGTAAATCCGATTGCTTTCCTACTAATCAATAGTGAAAACAGCCAAGATTCAGGGAACGTAGAGGGCTCCAGAGGTGGTAGTCGGAGGAACCTGTAAATAGCAGGATAATTTGGCCGTGTCTGGGGCTCAGGTTAATCTGGAAGAAGAACAGGTTCTAGAATAGTGACGCCCCTGGTAGCAAGGAATAAACTCAGGGAAAGGGGCAGAAAGACACAGCGGATGCAGGGCAGCCCTTGCCTGGTGGAGTAACTGATCCACCTCGTCATGCCAAGGTTGGGATGGAATGTGCAGTGGCGTGCAGGCTCCCTGGACTGGGTTTCATCTGGAGACAGTGTTTATAGTCCTGCCACACTTCCAGCTCTGGGTAGAGCTCAGAGGCTATTTGAGAGTCCAGAGCTGGGCTACCCCAGGGCCTTTACCAAGTGAAATTTGTCTCAGTGTGATTGATGGACTTTATACCCTGTCTTGAGTCTTTCCTGAGAAGGTGAATCAGGGACTTCCCGGGTGTTACCTGTTGTTAAGTTATTTAGCCCATAATTCCTTCCCAGAGCCTGGACTTATTACTCATGATTACTCACTCCTCCCTGTCCAGTGTGGTAAATGTAATTTTAGCTGCTAGGTTGGCTAGCAGTGTTCTCTTTCGTCTGATTTTATTAATCTCATCTTTAATTTTATGCCCTTTATTCCATCCCTTCTCAATCTATCTTGGGAAGGCTGTTGTACAACTTCTCAGGGCAGCAGCTGTTACTGGCTGGAGCCTGGGTCTGGAGGGTTCCTAGGTACAGACCCTCTAGCCCGGCACAGTCACTGCCTGCCCTGATGATGACTTAAGGCCTCCTTTGAATTCTCCAAAGGAATGGATGCCAGAAGAGAAAATTGCTTCCTGAACACCGCCTTCTTTGAAAGCTCCCACTTTCAAATGCGCTGTTTCCATCTTCACATCAGCGCCTATGAAAGAGCTGCTCAAGCTCATTAAAACTTCCCTGAATGAAATGTTTTCCTACTCATCGCCTTCAGGTTTCCTTCCTCAGGGTCCCCCGGTACCGCCACACAGAACCTGTGCTTTTCTGCCTTGTGCCTTCAAACAGATGCGAAGCAACCAGAGCTTTCCCTTTTGACTTTGTTTTCTTTTTCCCTTTTCCCTTTTAGGGAAGCTGACAGGTTCTTTTCCTCTTGGGGTGGTTGGGAAAGGAGAGTCCTTGCCTGCTCAGGCCTCCAAGCTTGTCTACAGCAAAGCAAGCACGGAGGTGTTATTAGAAGGCTGTGATGAAATTTAAAAGCTTCACGTTCCTACCCTGGAGCACAGGGTCTCCCCTGCCAGTTTTCTTCTGGTTGCCTTTCTTACTGCCTGGAGAGATGTCACCACTGAGTTTGACCAAAAGGAAGCATCTCTCTTTATTCCTGATACAAATTGTTCTATATACATAATGTAAATTTATACCTAACCTCTTTTCTCCCAAACTCTCACCAGAGCACTGACTCAGGATGCCATAAATTTATTCCTATCTCTTCTGTTTTTTCTAATTAACCACATAGGTGCCCTGGTATTCTTCATGGCCCTCCTGCTTTCATGTGAGAATCACAGAGGTATGCTCCAGTCTGGAAGCAGAATGGGAGTCTAGGGCTACTGAGCATCCCACGTAGGTGCCTGTGGCTTTAGCTGCTTCCATACACTGTCCCTGTTGAGAAGAGCCCAGTGTACACTTGATGGTTTGGCAGCAGTGGCTGTCTTGGTTGTTTTGCACATGCAGCAAAGGCACTGTGTCCTCGGGCAGCAGAGTCACAGTCCTTATTGCAAACTCATGTTTACAGCCATTGTTGCCCAGAGCATGACAGTGTGCTCTCAAAGGGTTGGGTCCCAAGAGGTTCCACTGAGGGTCATCATGCACCTTGGACAGTAGTGCAGGCTTTCCCTCTCCAGCCCTCTGCTCCTAGGGGAAGTTTTGTTTTGCATTTGCATTCAACAGTGCTAGAATATCTCATTCTTTCTAGAAAAGTTCTGATAACGCTGAATGTCAGAAAGGAAGGGATCAAAAACTCTTTATGTTCTTTGTCGCCAAGACTTTCATAGCCTACTAGAGATATATCTCCTCCTCTAAGTGCCCAGCTCTGCATCCCCATAATTTCCAAAAGTGATGATGACTTTGATTAAGTCACCAGGTATATATATTGTTCTTCCTTTTCCCAGGGAATCAGGAGCCTGTAATTAGGGGAATTTTAGCAGAAGGAGGAAG